CCATCACCACCACCATCACCATCAGCCACGGGGCCCCGTGACCAGCCTCAAGGAGGAGCCACTGTCCAGCAGTCAGCTGGCGGCCGCCAGGTCGTGGATGCAACCGGCAGTCGTCGACCAAAACAGGTGTGTAGCCCCCCTGCAAGCCTCGAGCTGCAGGCTTCGGATGTCACTTACAGCAACGACTTAACCGGTGGGCCTTTTATCCTTGTCCATATGGTGCACCGGCGACATGTACGAATGTACATGTTGAACGTACAAAGTGTGGCTCTGACTACAGTAAATTTGTATCGGCAATGTGAAATGTAGATGGTCTAGCTACGTCGGGTAACGTCCACAAATTTGTATCTTTGTTTGTGCGATGCGACTCAGTCCGCTTCGCTCTGTCCAGAATGAACTTCCGAAAGGAACCACTCGGTTCGTAGTCGGCGAGATTTAACGCGAACGGAATCACATTCCGTAAAGTAGCACGAATTTTATTGTGGTTTAAGTGTCGAAAAATTTATTGAAGAAATCCTGTTATTACGTTCCTCCCCCTGCATCGGTTCACAAAACATTTAGGCCTACGTTTCTGTTAAACGCGCTGGTATATCAGGACGTGTTCCTGACAACATTTCGTATGAACGAAGTCTTTGATCCTTCATGCACGGCTCCTGTGTTGTTATATTTGCAAATCGTTGTTGCAAAAACTTAAGTTAATTAATAGTTCCACTTCTATTACGGATAGGCTACAGGCCTAAGCCACAGAGAGTCCAATAGCAGGGTATTTTAATCCTCAGCAGGACTCCTGCTTATTTGCTTAGCAACTAAATCTGTTAAACGCTCGGACCCTCATTCAATAGGCGCACGGTAGCTTTCAGAGTCACCGTCTGCAGACAGGCGGGGTAGTTATAATCTGCAGGTAGCAGATGAGACCGGTTGGATACTTGTGTCTTCTTACAGGCGCTCTTATGCCACTTATGACCACCACTTACAAATCTTTTGGGCCACAGAAGTAAGTTCAGATGCTGCAGAGATATTACATCGTCCATCGACCGAAACTCTGGACGTAAAAGAATGACCCGCTAAGACAAAATGTTAAAGTTTGCCTTGAACACAAGAATATGATTAAGTTACTGTCGGTATCAGCAAACTTCCATGGCGTTTTACCTAAGTCTAAAACAGTAATCAGGGATGAGAAATCTATCAAGTCACGCTATCCTACCCTTATTAGCCTAAACATTTTCCTTTTCAACACCAAGTCCTTCAACATTAGACCTACTTAAGTCGTCAGACAATGAAACTGATTTATATCACAGCTGAGCGGCCTGTTTCAGACAGACTTTAATTATAACATATAAAAATAGACGTACGTGGACCTACAAATTAATAATCACTGCTCTAATAAATTGCCAAGGCGCGTAGCGGATACAGATAAAAACACAGCCATTTTAAGATACCTGAAACGAACAGATATGCCTAAACAGTTCTACAATTACAGCCTATGACACGTTAAAACAAGCCGTCTTGTATATTATTATACCGTGGTGGCGGCTAGGTGGTAACGGAGCGTCTCCGTTTGTAATTGGGGGAGTCAGGGCCCTTATTACCCCAACTGAAATCAACATATTCAGCTGATACAAGTTATTTCAAAAGTAATACATAACCACGCCAACACGCAAGCCTATGAAACACAAAATGTTTTCCAACTCCCCCCCCCCCCCTTCCGATTCTCGAATTATCAACTTATTTTCTTTGTTATATACTACAATCATTTCATTTCGCGTGTAGGACTTCAGAATTAATATTGGCCTTAACTTTTATGCATATTGCTGTAGATTTTTTCCCGGCCTCGCTTGGAAGTGTATCTACAAAAATTGTGGATAATTTGGTAGTAATGGAGGACTGTTCACATCAGTTAAAAGAATAACTCAGTAGCGCGTGAAGGAGGCATTTATTGGTAAATAAGTCAACAAACAGAATACCCTAGCATTTTAGGCTATATCAGCGTAGACTCACAATTCGAATCATACATATAGGCTCATTACCAGAAAATTCTTTCGTCACGAAATTTTGTACGAAAACACTTTCGTTTTTACGCAGTTCCGCAAATCTGCTTAAATCCTCCAAACACCTGTTGGCCTACGCATCTCTCGTCTTCCTTCCATATCAGACTTTGATCTCGGCCTAAATAATTTCACAAGTCAGAACCAAGTAACTGAACCCAGAAAATCAGCAATGAGAAATTAAGACGTACTTTTCGTTCGTATTACGAAGTGGGCAGTGCCGATGGTTCAGACGTTGTACTACGGGCCATGGGACCTTATGTCGGAACACACCTCAACCCCACAGACAAGCGACCGTGTCCAGGGCTCGCCAGATGATCCGGTGGTCGGACCATAGCAATATTTATGGGTTTCGTATGACCATGACAATAAACAGCAATTATTTCCCTAAACAGATTCAACCAACAGATGTTTGTGGTAGAGGACACACTGCGTCTTTGACATAGGAACTGTTTTATTCTTTATATTACACAGATTAGCTTCGGCGTTATTAATAGTGTTTTCCTGTGTTAATTTCATGAGCTACTTTGTAAAGAAAAATGTAGAAATGACATAAATCAATCACTTCGTGTTGTCTCTTCTCCAAATAATTGGATTCCTTATGTGACTGTCTCAGTTTCACAGAAGACACCGGGATTATCAAATATTTACTAAGCGCATTTAGGCTACTAGCAGGTCTAAGTTCATTCCATCTTTTTTTGGTCAGACAAAGCTTATAGGCTAATCACAGTCAAGCTGAGGGATGCTTTGAGGATGTGTTCTACTGACATCTCACGGTGAGACGTTTACATAGGCCAACACACGGACAGCTGACAGACGACCTGCGTGAACGGAAAACTCATTCCCATGCCCTCCCTTGTTAAGGTTTGTAGCCAGCTCGCCAGTAGCACCGGAAATTAATTGTATTTCCGTAACTCAACCCCAATATTGGCTAGTTTCAATTAACAATAACCATATCAGAGTTGAAATTTCTGCTATTTATTTACAAAAAATGAAAAAAAAACCTTTGTCTAGACTTAGAATGCTGCCAAAGCGGAAACTTAAAAGCCAAAAGCGAGACCTGCGACCAGGAAGTGAAAAGACAGCGCTCATTAGAAAATGTAAGCTTCAAAGGAACTCGGAAAGGACAACTCCACGCAACGTTTGCAGTAAACATTAATCAATCCTATCATTCCGCGCTAAATGACGTTTATACATGATCCATCGTGTTAAAGAACCCACTAACAAAGAGCATCATAAACTCTCAACATGCGAGAGGAATAAAAAGGCCCTCTTAGGGAGGAAAGCAATTCATTAACTGCATTCCACGAAGCAGCTACCTTAAAAAACGCTTTTAAAACTTAAACTGTTGTAACGGTGGGGCGAAGTTCCTCGACGACTGTCTAATCGAATTAGTGAAGTGGTTTCCCGGCTGCGTTCCTCCCCACCAAACAATAATTCGATTCAACTCATCAAACTGTGAGGAATATGATTCTCGAATACGGAAACCGTTCCTAACCAGATCTCAAAAAACGAAAATCCCACAACTTAGACGCTGGTTTTTCTCGAGACTACGCAGTCTAGGAGGTGACGTGTTTGTCGCTTTTCTTTGAAACGGGGGAGGAATACAGACTGGGGACACGCGGAACTCTTACCCAGTTTCTCGACGGAAAAGCATTCCTTTACACGTCGTCATTTTATAAAGACTACTGAGAATTAAATTGGAGGGACAGAGAAACACCACAAAATATCGAGACAATCGCTTACATCCCAAGTATGACAATTCAAGGCGCAAGTACCTTCAACTCCAGAGGCAGAATCAGCATAAATCATAAAACACGATGAGCCTCACGTTATTGTAGCAAATTACGAGTTCAGTGCTTCTCAATTTGAGGACGCTTTCCAGAGGCTATGACAACGTTCGCCATTGATGTGTGGTATAATTATCGGTCCCCCACCTATTTTTGCGTTTACACGCAAATATGTACTAAAAAGCGCACACAATCCATACATCCGTAGGCACATTGGTACAATTATGCCGGCGACCCCTATTTTCGCGAACAGGGTAGTTACTACAGGCCACAAACAATGATTTTTACGTCTGCATTGACGCCGTAGGCTGCAGTGCGAGATACGATACAGAAAACGTTTGATTTGCTAACCAGAGGTCGCTATCTGTTGTACCGATTGCAACTGGGGTCGTCGGAATCCTCTAGAAAGCGATTCTCAAGCGTGCAAACCAGGCATTTCAATGAATAAGCAGGCCTAACCTGATTATATTTTTATACGCCCAATTATAATTGGGCGTATAAAAATATAGTCAGTATAATTATTAAAGTTCCTTGTCTCTTTCTGAAGATCAAGATATTCTTTAAACCTGTCAATGCTGGTAACATGGGACAATGCAGAGACTTGTTTACAACCTAGAAATTGTTACACAGAATTATAAACAGTTGAGATCTGGCAGAGGAATCAGTTCACTGACCATATCAACAACACAGCCCATCTAGTATGGTACGTGGGTCAAATGACCTTTAGTAACCAATAATTCTGCATTTTGACTGCAGGGACCGTCCGTGTTCATATGATTCTCACAACAAACAGCGACGATTTCCTTAAACAGCGTCAACCAGTAGATCTTTGAAATGGTGAAATGCTGTGTTTTCTTTGCGGTACGGGCTGAATTTTTAAATTATTTAGACGAGCGTC